TGATATAATTTATATGAATATAAATATATACATGTAAATATTTTCCAAACTATATGCTGTATGTGTGTGTCTTTATATATGCATAATAAATATACACAGTACACGCACATATATTATGTAAACAAAAACTTTAATTTTGGATGCGATTAATCGCGATGAATCGTTTGACAGCACTAATATATATCTATATATATGTATACATTTTACATATCGTGTCCTTAATACCCCACATATTGTGTGTAAAAATTAAATAGTAAATTAAAGGTATTCTTAGTACAAGTCTATAGTAAATTGTGAACAATCCTGTTAATATACAGCATGTTTATAATAATAACTCACTCCACCGATGGGACAGGAGCTGTTAAGGTAGTCACACTTCTCGCCTGTGTTCACACAGACGGGGCCGAGAATGTTGGGAGATGAATCTCCAAGATTACTGGAGGAAAAGCCGGCTACAAAAGGACCCTGGAGGTACACAGAGTGTGATGCATTAGTGCGGAGCTTTTCATTCTGTCCCTGAGTCAAAAAGTCCATTAAAGATAACTGCCGACATAAGCAACAGAAATGTTATCTTCTGTTTGATGTATAGGACAAACAGATCTTGCATAATAACAGTATTAATTAACATCTCCAGTAAACCTCCTCTGTGTTTAGAGCATTTATTGGCTTTATTGAACGGCAAAATGCCCTTGTGAACTCTTCAAGTAGATTACAACTAATAAAGACAATTAATTAACCTTGAAGATGGGGCTCAGAGGGAAAGCTGTAATTAAAAGGTTGACCTTTTACCTCACCGGGTAGAAAGCCAATGTTTTTCTCTTGCTCGAAGCCATAGGAGGCGTAGCCAAGGTTGTCCGAGCTCACCATGCGATTGGTGTTATTCATACTGACGGGATGAACAGCAAACCAGCTGAGGACAGGTACATAGCCAATAAATGAATGCATTGCATTTATTATAAATGTATTTAGTGAAGTCAATTACCTTGAAGACCATACGATCTTGCTATGTTTGCACTGAAACGTAAGACTTTCCAAAGTAAATGCTATATTATACCTGAGCAAGCCCATACCATCCCCATCCAGATCTGTGAATTTCATGATGACAATCTGCTTGTCTGTGTTGAATTCATATCTGGGTTGGAAACAGAGTCAGAAATGAATGTGTTGTGACTTACAGCTGTATTGATGGTAGGGGATGTTTGTCACTGTAAAACAACTTTGAGACAAAACTGCAAATGCATAAATGTTCACCTAAAAAATGACAGTTCTTTCCATTTACTTCCCTTTGTCGTACCAAACCTGTATGACTGACTTTCTTCTGTGGAACACAAAAGAAGAGATTTTGAAGAATGTTGGTAACCATATGGTTTTGTGTCCCATTGACTTACATAGCATGAATAAAAAATACTATGGAAGTCAATGGGACCCAAAGTGGTTTGGTTACTAACACTCTTCAGAATATCTTGCTTTGTGTTCTACAGAAGATAGAAACATGAGGCCTTTTTATTTTGGGGTGGACTATCCCTTTAATAATAAAAGCTGGGTTACTTTAAACTGCAGCTGGATCAATATGAGCACATCAGCAAACAAACAAACCTGTTTCTCTCCTCCTCAGGGTTGTTCATGTATGAATGTGGGCTTCTGTTCAAGTTGCTGTCGACTAGTTGTCCTTTATTTATAAAAATTCGTCCAGGTCTCAAATTCCTGTGAGCTAGATCAATGCTCTGATGCAGAGGATGGAAAATATTATCAATGACATGCTGAAGGCATTTACATGAACTAATTCAAAGGGTACACATTTATATGTTAACATATCAGAAATGCATTTCAAATGAGAGCAGGCCAGTAAAGCATACCTTGACTATTCCACTGACGATGGCTTGTATAGACGGCTTAATGTAGCCTTTACTGGTGATCATAAAGAGGGTGTACTGGAAATAGCCACCCACGCCTGCATGTGTGTGTGTGCCACTCATGACCACATTGTCCTGTCTGTACAGGTCTCCGTATTTCGCCTTAAGCTCTTGCAGAACCTAAAATGGTTTGGGACGATGATATTTAAATTCACCCTCATAGTGCAATTCTAATGAGATTTGGGAAATATTGCGATTAAACTTTACCTCGTGTAAACACGATCAAACTGATGTGATTAAAGCTCATAATCATAGGAATCATAATAGTAAAATTTGTGGCACATGCTGATTTGAAAATCACAATAAAACGGCATGTAAACACAGTCACTAACAAGTAAAAATATGCCAGAAATGATCATAAGGAGAAAATCTAGTTTGAAACATGAGTCAGATTATTAGATATGCAAGATCTTTGTATTAATTTTAGTTTCTCCGATTTTTTAAATTCGACATTTTATACAGTTCTGTACTAGAAATTTGATTGAATCATTCCCAAAAAAATGTCAGTTGGTGTAACATAATGAAATAAAATAATAATAATAACAATACAAAATCCTGACAGCTTTATTATAATATTTAATTAAAAAAAAAAATCAAAAATATTTTTCAAAGTGCAAAGAGTAAAAACATTTTGAAAAGCTTTTGTAGAATATAGAAAAGTGTAATAGAATTGTCAACTCATAAATAATACAAAAAGTAGTACCAAACTACTTAAACACTTAATAAAGAGCTTTTTAATAACAATCTAGTACTATATATTCAGAATTTCTAGTACTATATATTCAAATAATAATAATAATTATTATTATTATTATCATTATTATTAAACGTGTTCTTTGTATTTGTGAAATTTACTAGCAATTTTCCTTCACCGGGTCACTGACAAAAGGTGCTGTATGTAGGATTGACACCGAGTGGTTGAACTAGGTATTGCAATCCAAATTCAAAATATTGGAGAGGGATTTTTCACCCGGACCCTCTTCCTCAGACTTGACGCACACACAGGTTGCCAGATGGATGACACCAACAGGAACCAGCGCACTTGACGATGAATGAAATGAAATATGCTGTGTTTTCTGCCAACTGGCAACCCGGAGTCCTGAAATACAATTGGGTAAACTGGCAGTGGGCGGGTTTCACAAACCAAAACAGAGACCGACATTCCGGCACAGAACGCATATTTTCAAAGGAGAATAACTGACTGTAGCATTGTTCTTCAGATAAACAAGTATGTTAACTTAGCATGTTTCTTACATATCTGCAAACATATTATGGTATTTTTATGCTTTAGTATAGTCAAAAACTTACATACAGCACCTTTAAGTCGCTGGGGTATATTTGTAGCAATAGCCAAAAATACATTGTATGGGTCAATATAGATTTTTCTTTTATGCCAAAAATCATTAGGATATTAAGTAAAGATCATGTTCCATGAAGATATTTTGTAAATTCCCTACTGTAAATATATTAAAACTGAATTTTTGATTAGTAATATGCATTGCTAAGAACTTCATTTGGACAACTTTAAAGGCGATTTTCTCAATATTTTGATTTTTTTGCACCCTCAGATTCCAGATTTTCAAATAGTTGTATCTCTGCCAAATATTGTCCTATCCTAACAAACCATACATCAATGGAAAGCTTATTTCTCCAGCTTTCAGATGATGTATAAATCTCAAATTCCGAAAATTGACCCTTATGACTGGTTTTGTGCTCCAGGGTCACACATATATATAATATACTGTATATATATAATGACCATTGTCAATGACACACATGCTAATTATAAGAGAAGTGCTTAATGTAAACTTTTCTTATGACTACAGAAGAAGAAACCCGGAATAATGTGTGTGTGCTATACCTCTAGCCTCAGTCTCTGAGAGACCATGCCAATGTCTGCAGTGATGAACACCACTCTTTTACTGCCATCGTCCACGATGAAGGCTCGGCTGAACAGACGTGTATGGATCCCTCTCACCGTCTGCTCAGTATTAGCGTAACCCATCTTTTCAACAAACAAAAAAACAAAATCACCATTCACAAGAATCTTAACTTAGTCTTTGACATTGATATCTGTCCTTTATCGTCACATCTGATCAGTGCACAGTCATAAACATTATCAGTCGCTAACAACTGATGAATATCAACTTCCAGCTATAAGGCCTCACCAATAATCAAACAGAACAGCTGGAAATAGTCAGAGTAAAATCAAATGATCAAAATCTAAGAAATAAACTGAACAGAAAGAGATTGAGATAAATTAAACCGACCATGGGCAGATCGGCCACAGGCCCGGTACAGTCAGCTCGACCCACACCAATCAGATAAAGGTTCTCTGGAGGATCCACTGATGGGCTCGGCTCCTCTGGAGTCACTTCCTCTGGTGCACAAATAATTCAAACCAGACACCATATGAATCTTCAATAAGCTTATGAATGGAAAAAATTACATTGAGATTCAAAAGTCGGAGTAAAAAAATGTTTCAAAGTAAATCCTACATCAAATATTTTCTGCACTCCCCCCTAATTTAAAAAACTAAAAATATTTCTAAATATGAAATATATGAATATAAAATCATATCTTTTTCCTAGGTCTTACAATGTGTAACTTCAAAAAAATATTGCTTAAGACAAATACATTTTAGTTTTTACAAGCTGTATTTTTCTTGTAATTAAACCATGTGAACAGTTCAGAATTACGTTTTTCTGAATCCAGTTTGAGGGCCAGGACTGTTATTAACCCCACTGAGACCGCTGTCATCAAAAGGAAGAGAACTATGAGGGAGATCTCCAGACCATTGAGCCGACAGCACTCAGTCTTACGCGCCATCACCCTTCACTGAGACACACACACACACACACACACACACACAGAGCACATGCTTGTCATACAAAATATAAACACATGTAACACACTAAACAACTGTGTCTGAAGTTTGAAGCATGAATCCATATTTCTATGTTGCTAAACATAATAACACTACACTTCAAATGTTTGGGGTTGATATATTTTTATTCTAATATTTTATCATTTAAAATAAGTTTTTTCTATTTTAATATATTTTTTAAATGCAATTTATTCCTGTGATGGAACAGCTGAATTTTCAGCAGCCATTATTCCAGGCTTCAGGGTTCCGAAATCATTCAAATATGCTGATTTGCTGCTAAAGTAGCATTCCTTCTTGTTATCAATATCAAAAACAGTTGTGCTGCTTCATATTTTTAGGGAAACATTCATACTTGTTTTCAGGATTTTTTTTTTTAATACAAAGCTCAAAAGATCAGCATTTATTTGAAATTAAATTTTTTTAATAAAGTCATTACAGCCAATTTTGATCAATTTCACACACCATTGCTAAATAAAAATATTAATTTGAACTTGTATGATTTTGACTTATGATGCTCATAAGTTTACATACCCCTTGCAGAATATGCAACAACACACCGCATTAACATTCAAGAGTATGTAAACTTTTAAACTGGTATATTTGTGTAAATTCAGTTGTTGTTGTTTTTTTTTGGACTTTATGTAAACATCTTTATGTCAAACTGCTTATTCACTACAGCACTAAAATAAAAAATAACATGCAATTTTTATGATCCCTCTTATTCTGTTTAAATGATCTTATTCTGGAAAGGAAAACATAATATGAAACATAATATCAAACAGGCGAAACATTTTCCTGATTTATATAATAAATGGGAAAAGTACTTACATGTTTTACTCTGCTCTCAAATTCACTGAACAGTGTAGATTTTGAAAAGCAAATCAAGTGTGGAACAAGTGCACACTTATAGTGTATACAGCACAAGGACAAAGGTAATATTCTCTGCACTGTTTATAGCCATATTTCATGTTGACAGTGTGAAACCAAACTCTCAGATTAGATTAGATTAGTTGCATAACATTTGAGATACCGCAGACCATATCAAGATATTAATTTTAACCAGAGAGAATTTTCAGTTAATAATAAATGTAACAAAATAAATGCAGATGTTGAGTAAATTTCTAAAAAAAAAAAAAATTGATACATGTATGCAGTACAAAAATGCTGAATGCTTAGATTTCTTCCAAGCTATGAAATACTTCAATCGAGAAGATTCAAAGTGGGATGCAGAAAATAAAACAAATAAAATGTATTATTGCTGTGGGTAAAATGGTGTAGTTATGACTAAATATCCATAATAGTCCTTTCTTGTCCTGTGTTAAGCTATGCTTTCCATCATGTGTATACTCCCTAAAAATGTAACTAATTTCATTACGTAGTTACTTTTGTGTTTTTTTTTTTTTTTTTTTACTTTCTTATCTGGCATTGGGGTTGCTTGTTTTTAATATAAAAAAAGAAAAAAGTTATATTTTTGGCAAATGTAAAAGCCCTTTCACACCAAAATTGGTGAAATGAATAAGCCTCAGGCTGAAGGAAATGTAAAAAAAAAACCTCTAAATACTGAAGTTACTGGAATACTGACGTTGAGATGAGTACAAATGAGTAAATTAATGTTCACATTTAATCTAAAACTACAGTAACATCATGATCACACGGGGCACACAACATCTCTGCACTTAATAAATGGGAAAAAAAAGTGACTGGCATTACTTATTTGAAAAATAACTCAATTAAGTAGTGTTACTTTACTAGTGTCAGGCTCTGGGCCAGGTTTTGTGTGTGTCTTTGCTCCCTATGTGCTCCATCATCCAGTTTCTCTGTCTCGTGTTTTGAGTTCATTGTTCCCAGGTGTTTCCAATGTTAATTGTCATTAGTTCCAGGTGTCCCTTGTCTTCCCCTCATCAGTTCCTGTGTATTTAAAGTGTGTTCTAGTTCTTGTCCTTTGTCAGTCGTTAAACGTCATTCTGTCATCCTGATGTGTCGAGTCCTGTGGTCCCAAGCCTTTGTTCAATAAACCCTTCTTAGTTACTTTACTCCATGTCTCCTCGCTCCTTCGTTCCCGTGTTCCTCGTGTGTGTGAACCGTGACAACTAGTTACTTGGAAAAAATAATCTGATTACGTAACTTGTGTTACTTTTAATGCGTGCAAACCTGCAACGCTGCTTACTAAAGCAATTATGCATAATTACATGCAACTACCTCTAAATCAAACCCAAAATCCAACCCTAAAGTATGTATATTACACTGTATGTACTGTAAATGTATAATTACACTGTAACAAAGACACCTTAAAGGGGTCCTATTATGCTCTTTTACAAAGTCTTGATTTTGTTTTGGGGGTGTACCTAGTTCTGTACAGGCTCTCATACTAGGTTGTTTGAAAAACACATTATTTTTCACATACTTGGGAAAGCTAGCGTGTCTCCGACATATAGCACTCGTTGCCTTCTCTAGTGCAGCTCAACCAGGTCTCGTCCCATTTGTCGATATTTGTGATATCACAAATCCCGGAAAATATGCGTTGTAGTCCAAACGAGTCGTTCGTTGTAGCTTTTGAAAAGCGTTTTCTGTTAAATAAAATATCTCCTTTTGAAGTGGACTTTGAGCTTTGTAACATTGCAGATCCTTTTTATGCTCAAACAGCAACATTACAAACTAACTAAAGTTGAAAAAGTGAAAAAGCATAATAGGACCCCTTTAAAATAAAGTATAAATAAAGGAATTGATATACAGTATTTGTCTACCAAAATAATTAAAAAAGCCTTTACATTTTTAAAACTTATTTTTATATCATTACAAATACTGATAAATCAGACTGTCTATATGGACACTGTCACTAAAAAAAAAAGAATCAAATAATGAAGCAAAGCTGTTTTGTGCTGATATTTTGTAATTTATTTCTTTGTCAATGGACGAACACCTCCTACTATTACATCACAATATAGCAGCTTGTCGTATTGAATGGTCAACGGGGCAGATCATCTGTTCTGGCTCATGGAAAGGATGGATTGGTTCACATCATTTTGTCAGTCAAACCCAGAACTGAACACCCCAGAGACCCGGATTTCAGTCAGAGCCATAAAGCACCAGCTGTCAGAAAGACAAACAACGTGCCAAAAAAGATTCCAAAGACAAAAACGAAATATAGCAGAACAAAGACATAAATAAATACATTCCGAAAACAGCATCGGAGAAATGAATTAGCTTTGCTGACACGGTCATGGAAATACACTTTCAAAACGAACAGTATTGTTACATTCGAGCGACGAGGTGAGTTCTGTTTCAAGCATATGTGGTTCAAAACACTGAAATTGTCTTTGAATAAACATAAAAACATTACTACAGTTGACTGTCAGACCACTGTTCGCAATGAACTATTAAGGCACTGAGGAACATTAGATTATCCAAACGATAAACATCTTCCGTAGCTCTCGATGTAAAGAATTAGTTCAAAAAAATAACAAATATATTCATATAAACCTTCTCCGACAGCATGTGTTGTTTAGCAGACGACTAGAAAAATGTAAGGCTGTAAATGCAAAAATGCACTATTTACAGTTTGTCAAATTGCTTACTCGAGTTAACAAAAAATAGCGTGAAAAGATGGCTTTGTGCCTGTAAACGAGGCACTGAAGATACAAATAAATAACTTGGCATTTAGTTTGCTGGCTCGTCTTTTGTGATTTGTTTTTGGTGAAATTCAGGATGATGCTACGGGCCAACGCAAGCCCAATAACACAATTTGGAGAGAAGAAAATCACTGACAATGGTTTCTCCTAAAGCCATTATTGTTTTCAGCCCTATATGTGCTAAGTTTTACATCCAAAACCAATCCTGTGAGGACATCACAGAGGAATGAGATGCTTTGGATGACTGGTTGTGTTCATTAAAGGGATCAGCTACAACTTCCGGCACTTTGGGCACATATTTTGGAGACCAACTTCCAAATGTAGCATTTGCACATTAGTCAATCTGAGTCTATCCGCGTGTACTTCACGGGGCCCCAATGCAGCGATCGCCATGAGAAGGGCTTCTGGTAGCTGCGGGGGACGACGGCGAGAACGTTGTTTTCCAGGTACCGGAAAAATCGGTACCACCATACGTGGGTGAAAAAGTTGGTCTGGGATGTCTCTTTGAGAGCCTAGAAAAGATACAGATGTAGAAGTTTCAAATAAACCATAAATAGGTTGACAGAAATCTGAATGGAAATTTGAGCAAAACAGACAGACGTACTTGTTGGTTGGCCATTGTGTGATACCACCAGAAGAGACGTGTGGTGATGAAGTAGGCCACGGCGACATCAATCGTGTAGTGGTCATGAGCAAGAAGGATGCAAAACACTCCTATTGCACAAAAAGCCCAGCAGCCCCAGTGGTACCACCAGAACCTTCTAGGAGAATCTGTGAGGAGCAAGAAAATCAGGGGTCTTATAATGTAGAACATAAGCTACCTAATAGATAACCAATGAAATAAGGCAAGGGTCGGCAACCTTTTGGGCAAATGTTCTGGTTAACCACTGAAATCTGCACCTCGGATGCACAGTGGTCATGCGAATGGTTTGCCGGAGACACGCGCATCTGTAGATTAGCGCAGGTTAATTCTCACGCATAGTATTTATACCTCCTATGAGGAACGATTAAGTTCAAATGTATGTTGGAATGCAGTTTTCCCTATTGCTCACATGCATGATTTTCCCTCTGCGTGCCAATGTTGTCATGTGTGTCACAGGTTGCCGACCCCTGAAATAAGACAAAAATCTACTAACAGCAAGCAAAACTTACATAAAGTCGTCTCAAAAGGTATTTTGAGGACCATTAAGATTTTTTGCACTGAACATTTCAGCACATTTTTGCCCAAACTATCAATGCTGTAATGCCTTAAAATAGTAAACGATTACAAGTTTAGATACAGAAAAGAAATGGAAGCGATACATACAGTAACT